GCAACCTTTTGTCTGTTAGCAAACTTTCCAAAGACTCTAATTGTTCTGTTACCTTTTTTGAATCTCATTGTGTTTTTCAGGATAGGAACTCGGGGATGACGATTGGCAGTGCTAGAATGATCAATAGTCTTTATTATTTTGAGGATAATTTACCTAGTTCTAAAATTGCTCAAGTATTTAGTAGTATCAATTCTATGTCTGCTTATGATCAAATAATGGCTTGGCATTACAGATTGGGCCATCCTAGTTTTATCTATCTAAAACGTTTGTTTCCATCATTGTTTAAGAATATTGATCCTTTAATATTTAAATGTGAAAGTTGTTTACTTGCAAAAAGCCAACGGAAAAGTTATGTTCCAAGATCATATCAACTTTCAAAACCTTTTTATCTTTTCCATAGTGATGTTTGGGGGCCTTCAAGGGTAACCACGATTTCAAGTAAAAAATGGTTCGTAACATTTATAGACGACCATACTCGTCTTTGTTGGGTCTATTTGATGCGTGAGAAATCTAAAGTTGAAAAAATATGTAAGGATTTTTATAATATGATAGAAAATTTGTTTCAGGCAAAGATAATCATTTTAAGGTCAGATAATGGAACGGAGTACTATAATAAAGTTTGGGAAACCTTTTTACAAGTAAAAGGAATTTTACATCAATCTTCATGTCCAGATACTCCTGAACAAAATGGAATAGCCGAGCGTAAGAATAAACATCTTTTAGAATTAGCTCGAGCTATAATGTTTTACATGAACTTGCCAAAATATTTGTGGGGGGATGCTATTTTAACTGCATCATATTTGATTAACAGGATGCCTACTAGAGTTTTACAATATATCACTCCCTTAGATTGCTTAAAATTTTTTTTCCAGAATCCCGAATAAACTCGGATTTGCCATTAAAAGTCTTTGGCTGCACTGCCTATGTGCACATTCCAAAAAGATCACGGTCCAAATTAGACCCAAGAGTAGAAAAATGTATTTTTTGGGCTATGTTCCAAATCAAAAGGGTTACAAATTTTTTAACCCATTGACCAAGAATTTTCATATTACCATGAATGCAACTTTTTTGGAAAATTTACCTTCTTTCCGCAAAAATTTAATTCATGGGGAGAATTTCAAGAGAATCAAATTTTTGGGAAACAAAACCTTTACCACAAATATTTTTTGGTCCTATTAAAGTAAAATCTACTGGAAACACTGAAGTTGACATTGGTCTGTCAGATATGGAAATATTATGAATGGAAAAAAATCGATCTAATCTTGAACCTGTGGTTTATTCTAGGAAAAATATCCTTGAAAGAGATAAAGATTATGTGTTTCGCTCAGCATGCGACCATGAGGAATTCCCGAGTGAACTCCGTCCAAACGCATCAGGTAACTCACCTTCCTTATCTTATATTCCAAATTCTAATGAAATGATTTCTCCTGAATCCAATCCGAGTCATGTACATGCCTACCCAAGAAACAGACCTTAATCTCCCCATTGCCTTAAGAAAAGGAACCCGAACCTGCAGTAGACATCCTATTGCCAAATACATCTCATATGACAACCTTTCTGCCAAGAATAGAGCTTTTACTACTAAGATTTCAAAACTTGTGGTGCCTAGAAATATTAAGGAGGCATTAGAATAACCGAATTGGAAGTCAGCCGTGCTTGAAGAGATGGAGGCATTGAGGAAGAATGGTACGTGGGAGGTGGTTGAGGGGTGCAAATGGGTGTTCACAGTTAAAAGTAAAGATGATGGCTATATAGAGAGGTATAAAGCCAGGCTAGTAGCAAAAGGCTTTACTCAGACCTACGGAATAGATTACCAAGAAACTTTTTCCCCTGTTGCGAAGATAAATATAATACGTGTCTTGTTGACTCTTGCTGTGAATTCTAACTGGCCTCTGTTTCAACTTGATGTAAAAAATACTTTTTCTCAATCGTGACCTAGAAGAAGAAGTAAATGAGCCTACCACCGGGCTTTGAGGAAGAACTTGTGGTTGGAAAAGTCTGCAGACTAAAGAAATCCTTGTATGGACTCAAGCAGTCACCTAGAGCATGGTTTGATCGTTTGGCAAGGCAGTGAGGAGGTACGGATTTATATAGAGCCAAGCGGACCACGCCATGTTTTACAAGCATTCAAGAGAAGGTAAAGTTGCCATCTTAATTGTGTATGTTGATGATATTATCTTGACAGGAGATGATTGTAGTGAAATAGATAGACTGAAGAGGAGAATAGCTGAAAAGTTTGAAATCAAAGACCTAGGAGTGTTAAAATACTTCCTTGGAATGGAGTTTGCAAAGTCTAAGGAAGGCATTATTGTAAATCAACGTATGTATGTACTTGATTTACTTGAAGAAACAGGTATGTTGGGCTGTAAACCGGCAGAAACTCCTATGGAACCGAATGTGAAACTACAACCAGCCAACGCTGAAGATGTAAAAGATAAGGAGCGATATCAAAGACTTGTTGGCAGACTTATTTATCTGTCACATACACGTCCTGACATAGCTTTCTCTGTATGTGCAGTTAGTTAGTTTATGCACTCACCTGGTCCTGAACATTTTGAAGTCGTTTACAGGATTTTAAGGTATTTAAAGGGGACACCAGGTAAAGGGCTTTTCTTTAAATCCCGAGGACACCTTCAGATTGAGGCCTACACCGATGCAGATTGGGCTGGGAGTATAGCTGATAGAAGATCCACTTCTGGGTATTGTACTTATGTTGGTGGTAACTTAGTAACCTGGCGTAGTAAGAAGCAGAATGTGGTTGCAAGGAGTGGTGCAGAGGCTGAGTTCAGGGCGGTTGCCCGTGGTATTTGTAATGTACATCAAGAGAATATTACAGGAGTTGAGAGCTTCAGAAGATCTACCTATGAAGTTGTATTGTGACAACAAGGCTGCTATTTCTATTGCTCATAATCCAGTTCTCCGCGATCGCACGAAGCACGTTGAAGTGGACAAGCACTTTATCAAAGAGAAGATAGAAGGCGGTTTGGTATGCATGATCTATGTTCCAACTGAAGAACAAGTAGCTGATTTGCTCACAAAGGGACTATCTAAAAAACAGTTCAATTTTTTAGTAAGCAAGTTGGTTATGAAAGATATTTTCAAACCAGCTTGAGGGGGAGTGTAGAAAAAATAAACTGTTTTTAGGAAAGAATCCGTGTATAGTTGTAACTGTACAATTAGCTAGGTGTCAAATCTGTATATTTAGGAAAGTATTGTTAGCAGTTATTTACTTCCTAGAATTAGTGATATTGTTTCCTTTTTTACTTAGGCTATAATTGTATAAAGGTCTACTCAATGAATAAAATTATTCATTCCCCAATATTCTTTTTCAAGTGTATGAATTCTGGCTTTAGCTTTTCTCTTTTTCAATGATTGCTATCTGGTTTAGCTAAAAACTGGTCTTTGTTTTTCTTCTGTGTTCAGTATCTCTCGTGTTTCTTCTTCTTCTTCACCCCCGCCCCTAAAATTTTTATTCTCGTTATCTTCGGTTCTTGTTACATAGTAAGAACTTAGATTTATGATGTGACAGCTACTTAGTGGACACCAAGGGATGAACATGGAGTGGCAAACGACACCGCCAAGCCCAAGTTCCTATACCGTTAAGAAGATATTGCGCTTGGACATTCCTGCAGATACTTTTCCTAATGTAAGTTACGTGCGCGATTCGTGTTTGAAATAAAATATCTTATATGTTATGCTTGGTAGACAGATACTTTCGGAAGATTCTAACTAATACTAGTTTAGAGGCCAACTTTTTATTTTTCTCTTCCTTCTAATGGTCCTCGAACTTCTGTGTTTGTAGTTCAATTTTGTGGGACGACTTCTAGGTCCTAGGGGCAATTCACTAAAGCGAGTGGAAGCTTCGACTGGTTGTCGTGTTTATATAAGAGGGAAAGGTTCTATAAAAGATCCAGACAAGGTAAAGATTCTGAACACTTGTATTGACATAAGCCCAATCTATAACATAATACTTAGGTTGGAAAATTTTGGTTTTTCTAAGTGACTTAATTCTAATGTTGAACTTGTTTATCTTCCGGTTATGCATTTTTTTCTTTTCTTTTAAACTATACAGAGCACTTTCAGTTTCATTTAACTCGGTTGATAGTTAACTCATAACTTTGTTGCTTTTTGACTCTCAAGGAGGAGTCTTTAAGAGGAAGACCAGGCTATGAGCATCTAAATGATCCCTTGCATGTTTTGATTGAGGCTGAATTGCCAGCAAATATTGTCGATATACGGTTGAGACAAGCACAAGACATCATAGAAGAACTTCTTAAACCTGTGGCATGTCTTCTAAGCTCTTAACCATGGCTGCTTAGTTATTGACCTTTTCATTTTATTGTACTGACATATGCGCAACAATTGGTCTTCTTTCCTGGATTCTCATTTCATTGACTATCATTTTTTTTTTCCCGATTTCAGGATGAATCGCATGATTTCTATAAAAGGCAACAGTTGAGAGAACTAGCAATGCTAAATTCCAATCTGAGAGAAGAGAGCCCTTGACCAAGCGGTAGTGTCTCTCCTCTTATAACTTCAAGCGGGATGAAGCACGCCAAAGCGGATTTATAAAATTCACTTAAATTGATCTCACTGGTGTCGCCCTACTCAGCTCAAACATTCTTGCCCTGATAATGCCCTCCTTATATCTCTAATCTTCATAGCAGCAAAAGATAGGAGAGCTCAGTGATGGAATAGAATGGTGAGCTTTTCAGTGCATGATTTGTTCCTTCCCTAACATTATTAACATACAACAATTTACAAGGGAAATCAGAAATTCATTTATTACAGCTTATATGGTTCTTATGCTTATTGTTGTAGAAATATATAGTTTCCTCCATGTTGAACATTATTTTGTTAAGACTTATCTTGACCTCATTTGTGTGTGGATTACATATATTAATTGGTTTGATACAAATAAATATATATTCTATTCTTTTTAATTGATAGTTTTTCCCACGGCAGTTCTTAACACAAGGCTTTCTCTTCCTTTTTGGCAAATCTGTCGGAAGTATCAGCATTCAGTTTTATTCAGAACTTCCATCATTGAGATAATACTTGGGGGCCGTTTGGAAAGTGGTGGTTTGAACCAGAATACGTTTGGTTCATGGATTAGAATCATGATATTAGAATCATTTTCAATTTACGTGTTTTTTTATGAGAAAAAAATATTGTAGTGAATTACGAACTATGATTCGAATTGGGGTACGAATCTTCTAACCAAACAACTCTGACTCGAAAATGTTGCAGGAAAACTTTTGAAATTTAAATTTTTTGTAAAAGAAAACAATATTTGAACTAGAACTAAGTGGGTTTGAACTCAACTTCCAAATGGGCCTTTAATTCTATTTGTTTATTTCTTTAGGGCATTAATACTAGCTTAGCTATTGCGGTTGTGTAATATTTCATATTGGTTTCGTTACAAAATAATAATGATTCGATGCACTTGAAACCTTGAAGGTGGATATATATGTATTGAAGTCTCTTATCGTTTATATCCGAAAGCGACATAAAATCGAATGATCTAGAAAACCGACTAGTCGGTTTTTATTAGAGGCTGATTGTAGAAGGATCAAAGTGATTGGTTTTTATAAAAAAAAAAAAAAAAAAAAAAAAAGGTAATTAGTTTAGGAAAACTCACATTGATAACGACACGCCGTATATTGTATGGATTATTAATGTCATTTTCTATGAAGCAAAAAAGTCATTCGTATATCAAAACCTTTGTCATTTTATTTTCTCACAGCGTTTGATGTCTAAAAGTTCTGTGTCGTTTATATCTTGAAACGCCAAATATTGTGTAAATATTGTTTTATTTTATTTTATTTAGGAGATGTCGTTTGTACTAGAGAAAACGACATCTCCTTTTTCATTGTACTGGTCAATGTTATAGATAAATAAAAGAAATTTATATTCTTGTCGTTTATTGTGGTTTTTTTTTACCGACCCCCTTGGTGATGAAAACGACAATTCATTTCCAGGTTTATTTGTTTGTCGTTTATTACGTTGTTATTCTGCCTCTATTGGTGATAAGTGAAAAAAGACGACCCATTTCAAGATTTATTTTCTTCTTGTCTAGCACTTTTTTTTTTTTCCGTCTGTCTTGGTGATGAAAGTGAGAACTTATTTCAATTCTAAAGAAGAGGGGGGGAAAAAAAAAAAAAAACTCACTCATATCATCGTATGCCGACATTGTCCTTTGATGTATAAAAATCCATGCTCGCTGGTCGCTTGCTAAAATCCAATGTCGTTTGTAAGTTAAAACGAGATCTAGTTCTTTTTAAACGACACAGTAACGTTTAGGTTTTGACAAAGACGCAACAAAGATAAAAATGTAACAAGAACCGTAGACAGAACAAACATAATGTTAATGGACGGCAACAAAAATAAAAGATACAGAGAAACTATGAAAATTAAAAAAATAAAAATAAAAATAAAAATAAAAACATAAATAAAATTGCGACATTGATATAACATATTAGATCATAACGAAAATTAATGGGAAAGCCTCAAAAAATAATGGAAAAAATAGTTTATTACCTTAGTAAACGCGTACCAACTCAGAAGCGACGCAATGAAAAACGCAAAAAGGGGAGAAGAAAAAATACGACACAAAAAAGGTATAAAATAGAGGTAGACAAACGATAAAGATATTCATCAACGGCAACAAAAAGAAAGCAAAACAATTAAAAAACGAAGTTGAAATTGCAACAAACGACGTCATAAATGAATAAGCGCCAAACGACAATGCATTAATATAACTTCATTTACCCTTTGACCTTGAAAAACAATTATTTTTATTTTATTTATTTATTTGAGTAAATTGCATTATTGCATCCGAAATATTCAGTTTGCATATTGCACTCTGAACTTTTACTTTTAACAAATTGACTCTTAAATTTTAAAATTAGTTATAATTGAGGTCTAATAGTGGATAACGTTATTAAAATTGACAATTGACAGTTCAAAACATGAGATTTGCATGTAACATAGTTTAAAAAGGATTAATTTCAAAAAATTTCTCTGAACTATGACCCTTGTAACACTTTACCTCCCAAATTTTAAAAAGTAACATTTGTTTCTCCCGAACTTTGTTCCGTTAACAAGTTATCCTTTGGTTACAATTAATGATGGAAATCGCCAGGTGTTAGGTACATGACCAATCTGAAGAATGTATTATCGTAAGGAGATCAGATGAGAACAATAAGAGTAAACTTTTATCATTCTTTTCTACAATTTTTATCTTCTCTTTGTAAGGCATAACAAGCACCCGAGAATCATAAACAAAATATGGGTTTCCTTTAGCCAAGATAAGCTTCACAGTCTCTGGATACACAAAAGTAACAAAACCAAACATCCGCTTTTACTTATATGAGATTCTCACATCTTGAACAGGTCTATAGATGCTTCAACCCAAAATTAACATCCTTGGATGACCCGAAATACACGCTTGTCAGAGAGAATATTTCTTCGACGAGATTTTCACTAATAGAATTGTATAAAAAAGACCCATAACTGTTGCTGATGTTGTTGTTCAAAACACTAGCGTAAGAAAGCGGAGGATTTGGAAATGGATTGGTCCTAGAAATGGGGTTGAAAGGAGAAAAAGAAAATGATGATGATAATGATGATTTAGGGAGAATAGGTAAGTGGGTTTTTCAATAAAAATGGGGAATTATCTAATCGTGGTCTGACTTAAGAAACGAAATGCAACATTTCTTTGGAGAGAAAATGTACATATGAGATGAGAGAGTGAGAAGAAGAAAAAAGAGAGAGAAAACGTTTGGGTTTTTTTTAATTATCTTTTCTTTTAGTAATATTATCTTTTTAATATTTTGGATAATCTTATTAGTAGGGTATAAGTGTAATTACACTGTTAATTCTCACTAAATAAGTGACATGTGACAATTTCATCACTCATTGTAACAGAAGGATAAAACTTGTTAACAGAACAAAATTTGGGGGGAACGGATGTTACTTTTTAAAATTTAGGAAATAAAGTGTTAAAAGAGTTATAATTTTAGAGGAATTTTTAAAATTAATCCTTTAAAAAATGATGATCTTTACTTTTCACGTGCAACTCATTTTTTTAATTGTTAATTTAATAATATTCGTAAACTATTGGACATTAATTGCAATCAATTTTTAAATTCAGGGTGTAGTTTATTAAAATTAAAAATCTAAGATGCATTATGTAAAAATGAATAGTTTAAAGTGCAACGAAGTAATTTACCCTATTTATTTTCGTTGATCCAATTGGGTTTAGGGTGCTCGATTGTTGAGACTCGCGTGGAATCATTCATATCGAATCGATCAGAGAGACAGAGACAGAGAGAGAAACGAAGAAGAAGACGAAGAAGAAGAAGAAGATGGGGAAGCAACCGGTGAGGATGAAGGCGGTGGTGTACGCTTTGTCGCCATTCCAGCAGCAAGTAATGGCGGGTCTCTGGAAGGATCTTCCTTCGAAGATCCACCACAAGATCTCCGAGAACTGGATCAGCGCCACTCTTCTCCTCGCTCCTCTCGTCGGCACCTACACGTATTCTCCTCTTTCCCCCTCTTTCCTCTTCCATTTCTTTAGGGCATTTGATTTGATTTCCCCCTTTTTTGTTCTTTTGGCAAAAATAATCCCTTTTGTCATTTGCGAATATTCGAAAACATTGGCCTTTTAGTTGAATGTTCTTGTGCGATTTATATATGATTTAGGCATAGTATTTGCATGCCTGATTGAATTTTGAAAATTGGAAATAGTTATTTAGAAAAGTTGATCTTAGCCGCCGTTGTTAGGTTTTCTGATATCATGTAATTCTTTGTCTTTATTACTGTGATTCTGTTTGGCTGAGGCGTTACTGTAGTTTCAGGGTAAAACGGGTATTTGATTGATAATTGGAACTTTGATTGATAAAGTCTCAATAATTTTTTTTTTTAGCTTTTCTATTTGGGTCTTTCTTTTGAAATTGGGTCTTCTTCTGAATTCTGAGCTTTTATGACGGTGCACACAAGTTCGTATTAAGGGGGAAAAAAAGAGTGGTTTATCAAGTAATTCAGCATTGTAATTATGTAATATACCAACAAAATTTGGATTTCGTTACTGGAAAACAAAAATGTTTGGATTCTTCAGCCCTTTGGCGTTGCTTAGTCCTCTTTTGTAATGATTTACTGAAGGGAAAAAACAAGATAAAGGGTTGGGAATGAATCACGGAGAATGTATATTTCACAGTGCTAGTTGTTAAAGTATATTGTATGGGTTAGGCAAGTTGTTAAGATACCAGTTTTTGCTGTGTTCACTTCTAACGTATCTTGGAAATGTGTTGTTGAACAATAGATATAAATAAACCCTTCATCATGTATTATCGTTCCTTTCTGTTCCTTTATTTTCATATATTTATCATCAGTACGTACTTATTTTCCTTTAACAGTTAAATAGCGTTTTAAATTGCCCATGTACTTGTATGTTTGAACTCTCTTAAAAATGTTTGCAGTTATGTTCAGAACTACCAAGAAAAGGAGAAGTTGGCTCATAGGTATTGAATTGAATGCCTTCCCGAGAAGCGGCCGGTTCCAACTTTTCTAGATGAATTGTTTTCCGTTTTTCGTTTCTTTCATATGCAAATAAGTTGAATTTTATGCCTGTGAACTGGTGTTGAGGTTTCTCAAACATCTCCATTTGGTCAAACAGTTTTGTTTAAAAACTGCTTTAATATTCTTAATGTTCTTAGTCATTGTGGACGGATGGTGAAAATTCGCCAACAGAATAATAATGATTTTCTTTATAATTAACGTGAATTAAATTATCTAAAACAGAATTAAAAGTGGAATTTAAACAAGAATACATAGAATTTATAGTGGTTCACACTTAAATCTTTTGATTTTCACTTAACATAAATACCATTATTTTGATTTTCCAACATATTAATATCATAAAAAATCAAAACCAATTCAAAAATCTCCCAAGGGACCAAATTTGGCTTTGAAGGCGTTTTCCAAATCTCTCCAACTAGAGATTGTATTTGGCTTCATCTTCCTGAACCATCTCGCTGCGGTACCTGCCAAGGTAGTCCTAAAGGCTCGACACATAACTTCTTCACACCCCATAGAGCTCCATATGAGATGCGAAGAAATGTAAGTGGGTTAGCTTTTCCAGCATAACGAGCGATTTTTGGCATCTTAAAAATGTCGGGCAGTGGGGCGTCCATTATCTCTTGCGTGAATGGATGGTCATGCTCATTCTCATCGTCCATGTAAATCTACAGCTGTTCCTTGGGTATGAGCATTACGTTCCTCGAGTTTGCGCACACGTTCCATAAGATGTTGAAATTCCCTGACACTGATAGTTGTCTTGGCTTTAAGATGTTCTCTCTTAGTCTCCTGTGAGAGTGGCATTATGGCTCGACTCTTCTAGGACATTCCTTCATCGGGGTGGCCTCGGTGGAAGGCCTCCTCCCCCGCCGTTTTGGTGAGGTTGCCCTTCGGCTCCTTTATTTTGAGCCTCTGAGCTCGTCTTTCTTCCCATAGAATTTTGGTTGAAGAATTGTAGCAGAAAGAATTAAATGTAGAGAAAAATAAAGGACATTAAAGATTTAGAGTGGTTCACCCATTTAAGAGTTACGTTCCTTATAACTACATGTATCAATACTCTATGATGACCCAATAAAAAACTAATGAAAAACAAAAAATCTGGGACTGAATTTGATGGTCTTTCAGTTGCCTCGTTGCCCACGTGGGATAAGCGTTCACGACGTCATTTGGGCTTGATTGGTCTGATCCAACCAACTATAGGCCGAGCCCATCATTGAGTTGAAATGTGCTTAGTTGATGGATGATAAAAATGTGCTGGAAGTGGAGACTACACGTTTTTTTTTTTTTTTTTGTTTAAATCAAATCTTGAGTGGGTCTTTGGTAAATGTGCTTAAGAACCAACATAGCATGCATATCAACAAGGTTAACTTTTCCATTTTAAATATATATTTCTAATTTGTCAATAAAATTAGGTCAGAGGGGATGATTTTAAAACAACTTTAAAATCTGTTATTTTTCATTTTAAAAATATAGTTATTGGTGATGTTTGGTTCATGAGTTTAGAACCATGGTTCATAATTCTGATTTTTTAAATTTAGATTTTTTATGAGAGAAAAACACTGTAACAAATTACGAACTATAATTCTAAATTAGGTCATAACTCTCAAAACAAACGGATCACTAATGATTCATGTTCACCTCAAAAAAAAGAAAAAAGAATCATATTTTTGTTATTAAATTAAGTGGATATTTTTGCAATCTTCCCCAGAGAAGATATCTTCAAAAACTTCAAAAATTTCGTTTTAAAAAAAAATAAATATATATATATATATAACGGTGTCGTTTTGAATAGGAGTGAATACACAAAGGACTCAGAAAAGGAAGGTTTGAATTTCAAAAGGAGCGGTCTTTCTATTGCCTCGTACAAACATTATAAACAGCTCCACAGTCCTTTAGTCTCCAAACCTGTTCGGTGGTTTTGAGTAAGAACCGTAAAGATTCTATTTTTTCTGTGTTAAAGTTCTATTGTAAAGCAATTATCTTTTTATTTTCACTGAAACTCTGTCGTTTTAGGATTCTCAAAGCAAGCACTGAAGAAGAATAAGAAAGAAGAAGAAGATGTTGACTCCCAAATCCAATGACAACGCCAACACCTATGAAGAGGCCCGCAAGCAACGCCTTGAAGAAAACAAGAAGAGATTTGAGGTTGAATTTTTGTTGAAATAGTATTTTTTTTTTGGCATACTCTGTTTATATGTTTGTTTGTTGTTATCACTGTTGTTTTGTGGCTGAAGGATTTGGGAATTGCAAGTGTTTCAAAAGGTCTGACTGAACTAACAAATTCTGAGAAGAAATCCCAGGTATAAGTTTTCGGCTTCTGTCTTTTCGGGTCAAAAGTTAATTGTGTCTAAGTTTCTTTGTTGACAATCTTTGTTACCATTCTTTTCTTTTAATTATGCAGCAAGGACAGCTTCCAAAACCCAGATCAAAGACTGCTTTCGCGGTGGAACCGAGACGGTCTACTCGCGTGCGCAACCCGGTTCAGACTTATCGCTATGACGTGAGTGGTATTTTTGTTCCATTAGTATGCAGTAATAACATTTTACATGGAAATATTTGACGAAATAGACAGAACTTCATTGAAAGTAGAGTGATAAGCTTTTGACAAATGCTTAAGTTCTCTGCGATTGTGATGTCATTGAGAAACTAGAACAAAAAACAAAATGAAGGTAACCTTTTAAAAGGTAATTCTTATTAGATAGTTGTTTGTCTTTCAGATTACAATGAATATCTTTATTAGCAGAGAGCTGACTCTTATTAGACTTTTCAGAGAAACACTTGGAATTCCTAGTTGATCATAACACATACATGAAATAGTACAGTAATTGTAACTACAACAATAAATATACTTAATTTTTTCCAGCTATTTAATACTACACATTTCACCAAGTATAACGAATTCAATCCAAAAGGCTGATGGACTCCTATGAAACTTGTAACTGTAGTGCCGGTAGATCAAAAATTTATTAGCATGTTAGCAAAAATGTAATATTGTCCAGAAATACTAAAAAACTAATAAAGAAATTATGAACACAATGATAGGGTATTTAAAATGGTCCAATTTCCCGGCATTGAATTGTGTAGAAACTACCTATCACAGTACATTTATTTATTTTTATGGATATTTGTTCATTTTACTTGAACTTATAATGGATTTAGATCTCCATATATCATCTTTTAGTCCGATATAAGAACAGAAGAAGAATGAAGATCTATTCTGCTCCAATTACAGGTTGACATGGAACTCCCGTTTTCTCGGAAGAAGTCAAGATCAAAATCATCATCTTGGGCAAGGTGAGTTAGATTCCATTTTGTAATATCATTTTTTTTTTTACCGCCTTCCATAGCAAATGTTAACACGAAAAGTGTGGAAAGTTCTCAGCTACCTTGCAAGGCCTATAGAAGAAGTCAAATTAGCTAGCTATGAAGAAAGAACTTATGCTTTTAAAGCTGCAGAAGAGCTTCAAAAGAATCTAAAATCAGACAATCCATGCTTTGTCAAATCGATGGTTCGCTCTCATGTTTATAGTTGTTTTTGGTTGGTAAGTCAAAACAAAATAAAGATGCTTTTAGTTAAATAGCAAAGGTTATGCAGTAGCTTTGGTGTACTTATATATTTGGTTGTTCATTTTCCTGCATCTACAAGGGCCTTCCTTTAAGATTTTGTAAGGATCATCTTCCCAAAAAAACTGTTGATATGGAATTAGAGAATGAAGATGGAAAGGTATATGATGCTGTTTACATTGGGGAAAGATCCGGGCTCAGTGGCGGTTGGAGAGCATTTGCTTTGGAGCACAAGTTGGACGATGGCGACGCTCTTGTGTTTGAGTTGGTCGAACCTTGTAGGTTTAAGGTAAGATTAACAGTGTCAAGTTTTCAAGAGCTGGTTAAATAGGACTAGAGGAACTGAAGATGGATGCATTGTTTTGACTTTTGACTGCCAAATAAGTGCACTTATACATTTCACTTGCAGATATACATAGTTAGAGTATCCATGCTTTCAAGTCAAGAATGTAACACAAATATGAACGACAAAGAAAATAACACCGGTGCTAAAAAGAAACCGAAGAGGACAATGAAGTCGGGGGATGCTCTTGCGAAAAATGATGGCTTAGTAAATTCAGATGAAGTGAAACAAGATGCTAGTCTAGTTTCTAAAGGAGTTGAGAAGGATAGAGGTGACTCAAAAACTAGTGAAACTTGTAGGAAAACGGAGCCAAAATGCTTGCCTCGGAGATCAACAAGAAAGCCAACTCCCAAGAGAGCACAGCAGAAGTGAAAGATAGACAGAACATCCATTTCGTGCATTTGTATAACAATGGGACTTGGTTGACACTTTTGTCTCTCTATGAAAAAAAAATTCGTACTTTTTTCTTTTTGAATCCAAGCAAATTTCATGCTAGAAGTATGTTCTTGGTACATGCGTAATCAACCATGTATATATTGTAGCGACCTTTTTAATGCACGCAAGAATTTCTCAAATGCTCATAGATACTTTTTTTCTTCTCTTCTTTGTTTCTTAATTGCGTATATAGCTCGCAAATCGCAATGTACACACTTGAGGCAAATTCAGCAATTCAAGGCTGAAGCAATTGGTTGGGAAAAGTCGTAAGGTTTGCAACGAGGTTACAAGAACAATTTTACTAATCCACCTAGCAGCAAGGTAAATTTGCAAAATCTCTTGACAAGAAAAATTAAACAAAATACAAGCACAACTAAGAGCAATGGTCAAGTTTCTGAAGGAGCTGAGAAGGATAGAGGTGACTTAAAAACCAGTAAAACTAGTAGGAAAACTGAGCCAAAATGCTTGCCTCGGAGATCTACAAGAGAACCAAATTCCAAACCTTGAAGAAAGAGAGAGCACAGCAGAAGTGAGTGTAAAGACAGCATCATGAATTCCCTCCGTTAATTTCGTGCATTTCTATATGGTATTTGGTTGACACTATTGTATCGGCATAAGTCCGTACTTTTTTCTTTTTGAAACCATAGAAACTTTTAGCATGTACTTGGCATGCGTAATCAACCATGTCTATTGCCACAACTGTTTTCAATGCAGACAGGAACTTCTCAAATGCTCATAGCTATTTGATTTTTTTCTTTTTTTTTTATTGCACATATTAACTCGCAATGTACAATTAGGGCAAATTCAAGGCTGAAGCAATTGATTAAGAGAAGATATAAGGTTTGGCCATTATAAAAATACCGAGGCATCAAGAGGTTACGAGCAAAATGTTAATCCACCAGAGCAGCAAGGTAAATTTGCAAAATCTCTTTGACAAGAAAAGTTGAAGAGCGCCAATATCTCGGTAAACGAAGGCAAAACACAAAAAATGTCTCATAATAGGTGATGGTACCAAATACTGTAAAACAGCCAACAAATTCACGGAATTCAATTCTAGAAAAAGAGTTCTAAGCAGTAGCAGGTAAAAATGCTCTTCCAGGTTTACGCTTGGCCAAAGGTCCATGGCATCCAAGAAGCTGCAACACAAAATAAAACTTGTTCAGATTACAAAATCTCTTTGCATGGGGGAAGAAATAAACAAACACGACCTTTCCATCAGTTGATTAAATTTCTGTTCTTCTAGGCCAATGGGTTATTCCACAGAAGAAAAAGGTACTATGTCAACCAAATTTTATCAAATGACATGATAGGAACAATTACACATTTTGGCAAGAACACAAACCTTGGCATTGACACCATCAGGAAGAATACGGTTCTCTGACTTCAACTTGACATAGTCATTGCGGTTGAATTTTGTGAAGCCCCTGAAAAATTGCAACAAAATAAAAGTGTAAAAAACTAGTTTTTAACCGGCACACGCAATCCTTAGATACGAAAATTATAAGAACACATATCAGGCCATAAAAATACTAAAGTCTGAGGGTAAATGGTTAGTTATTATGCATCATAATTTTTATTTCATAAGTGCAAATATTCAAATTTGCATTCGCAACTAGAAGGACAAACTGAAAAGTAAAAACAATAATTAAATGCTACTTTTGTATTTAGTGAAACTTCCTCCAATTGAGGAACAACATAATAGACTCTAGTCAACGGAAAGAAATAAGTATGGAGCTGAGAGAGGCAGAGAGGAAAGAGAAGAAGCAATTAATACAAATAGTTGAATTAACCAAAACATGATGCCCTGACAATTAAAATACTGGAGATTATGCGAAAATATAGCAGACCAAGTAGTTCACGAGAAGAAGCACAAAACAAATAATCTGATGTCACATACCACTTCCTGCTGACAATGATCTTCTGACGACCAGGGAACTTGAACTTGGCACGTCGAAGAGCCTCCTGAGCGTGAAGGCTGTTGCTGTCCTTGCAACGAACAGACAGGAGCACTTGACCAATGCTAACTCTGGCACAAGTTCCCTGTGGCTTTCCAAAAGCACCTCTCATACCAGTCTGGAGCCTATCAGCTCCAGCACACGAAAGCATCTTGTTGATGCGCAGAACATGGAATGGGTGCACCCGGACTCGCAAATGGAAAGCATCTTTCCCAGCATACTTGGCCATGTACTTATTACATGCGATACGAGCAGCCTCAAGAGCCTCACTCGATACGTTTTCCTTCTCCCAAGAAACTAAGTGGACACAGAAGGGGAATTCATCGACTCCCTTCTTCTTCATGCCCACATCATAAATCCTGATCTTAGAGTCAGGCACACCACGGCAAAACCGTGATTTCGGATACGGCTTGTTCTTAATCTGCCGATAACATCTGGCGGGTCCTGGAATGTGGAAACAGTTTGATAGAGAACGAGTAAGAACAACTGAACAAGACGATCTAAATATCTATCATCTGGGAAACTCAATTATGCACAGTTCTAAACTACTAAAAAACAAAAGTACTTCAAAATCAACCATCGCCAATGGAGAACTGCTATTATATTTATAATCTGATAACGATACCATAAAGAAAGAAGTATTAAACGACGGCGGACAGGAAAAACATAAACCAACTTTTCCTTAGCACTATATAATTCCAATTCCAATTCCAATCGATAGGTCTAACAAACCAGGTTACTGAAATCCTGTCGCATGTGAATCTTCGTGCTTTTTTCAAAACAAAAGTGTGAAAATGCATCCATAGAGAAACCCATAATCTTAAGTGATAGCCATCTGATCTTAACCCTAAATCAAGCTTAACAACATAACATATCTAGTTCTCACTTCTTTGCGGATAGAAAACGAAATTACTCAGGTAAATATCAGCACAACCACCACCAAAATGCTCCAGTTACGAAAACTTATTGCTAAAAAAATAACGATAAAAAGAGGAGAATAGGGCAATTTCTAAAATTTAAAAAAAAAAAAAAAAAAAAAAAAAAAAAAAAAACAGAGAAAAAAATGAACCATCTTCGATCAATAAACAATAAGGACAAAAAATGAAAATCAAAGGCAATAAAGAGCTTACTTCTCCCCATGGCGAAATCCCTCCTATGTGTCTGCGGCCCCAAACAAAGCCCTGGAACGAAAATGAGAGGGACGAAGATGGAGGGTCGCCTATTTATATGTGGCAAATAAAACTGCGGGGGCTGATTCTGAAACCCTAACACGTTTTACGTGGTTCATACGTGTGAGATTGCGTCAGAACTTTAGAAGTGCTTGTAAAGGAGCCCCCTCGTCCAGCCCAAAATGTTGAATGTGTCTGCAACAACTTCTTGGACCCATCTCTAATAAGCCCGTAACTGATTTAACGGGGAGGATTTGACGATTTGGGAGGAAAGGAAGAAGGAAATGAGAAAATTGCATAATTTAGGGAGAAAGAGGAAAATAGGCCGAGACTTGAGATAAATTAAAATTAATAGGTTAATAGTTTACATAAGTTAATAAATAGGCTAAATTACTATTTTCGTCTATAACTTGTCTGGTTATGAACCATAAATTGACAAGTTATTCACAGTTTTTGTCCATAACTTGTCTGGCTATGAACTATAACTTGACAAGTTTGTCCATAACTTATCTGGTTATGAACCATAAATTGACAAATTATGACCTATTAATTTCTATAACTAAAAATTGACCTATATACTTTCTTAAGCTTTTCATATTGGCCTATTTTCTACTATTTTTCCATAATTTATGTTTAAGAATGGATCTAAATTTTTACTCCTTTTATTAACATAATTATTTGAGTAAAAAGGTTATTAAGTACGAGTAAAGAGTAGAAATTCTGACTCATACACTTTTAAGAGATATTTGTCTCTTTTCATTTTAAATTATGTATGCTACAATTTCAAGAGTAAATACTCCTTAAAAGTACATGGGTTATGATTTCTATTATTTACTCTTAATTAATAACCTTTTTAGTCAAATGAGTATATTACTAAAAGAGTATTAATTAAGAATGAATGGTAAAAATCTTAACCCTGTACTCTTAAGGATAAATTATGCAATCTTCTCTATCTTTTTAAGAGAAATCGAGACAAATATCACTTAAAAATGTATAGCTTAAGATTTTTATCCCTTACTCTAAATTAATAATCTTTTTAATCAAATAATTATATTAATAAAATGGTATTAATCAAGAATGAGGGGTAAAAATCTAAATCTATACACTTTTAAGAATAAATTCTATAATTTTCTCTAAATTATATATTTTTTAATTTTTTTTCTCCAATTTATATTATTTTTTAAACGTAGTAAAATTACACCATTTGAAAGTAGTAAATACATGATTTAAGTAGTAAAAATAAATAATATATTTTAAAATTTCAATTCATGATGTTCCAATTTTACCCTACTTTTTTATTTCCCTCTTCTTCTTTTTTTCTTTTTCACGATACCTGCATTCTCTCCAACTCTTCATTTTTTCAGTTGTCTATTTCCTCTTGCTATCCCTCTCTCCTCATTCTGAGAGCATCTCTCTCCTCTTCTCACGTCTCTCCCTCCTCTGACTGTTTATGCAACTTTCAGTGCGAAAACAACTTAAAATTTTAATCAGTTCCGATCTCCTTTCCCTCTCTCTAAATTCTGCGATATGATTGTACTCTATATCTGTTGATTTATGAATTGTGTTTATTAAGTGATTTTTTATTTTGATGGAAATCAACTTTAATTTTGTGAATTTCTCTTCATCAACTTCTCAATCGATTTTAATTTTGGGTAATTTACATAAATGGTCTTAAATTTTTTTAAAAAGTGACAGTTTAATTTTTAATTTTTTTAATAAAACAACCCATAATCTCTTTAAAAAGTGATAAATTTAATTCTTTTCGTCAAATTTTGTTATGTCACGTGACCCATCACTTGACTTTTTTCAGTAAAATAACTTAAATGCCCCAGAAAAATTATCTATTTTCCCTCAACATCACAGTCATCTCCATTAATTTAGGGTCTGTTTGGTTCTTAGATTTACTCTCTGATTCGAATTATAATTCGTAATTTATTATAGTATTTTCTCTCAAAAAAATACACATAAATTAAAAATAATTTAAATTATATAATTTGAATCCATAAACTAAACGGACCTTAATTTCCATTTTAGTTTTTCCCATCCCAACCCTCAAATCCCCTTTCATCTTCCCCCGAAAATTCACAGAAAAATCAGGCACAGCTCATGCTTCAGCACCTGCGCCACCGACGCCGGAACCCTAACCCTGACCCTATGGCTCTCCACAGTTGCTTTGATCATCCCCAGTATCATTGATTCTCGAAGACTTTTCTTCTCCGTCATTTGCTTTCCCATACCGATTCCCCTCCTCTTTAGTTGCAGGTTTGGTTACGACAGTTGAGCTCCATTCATTCAGTTTCTTGCGAATTTCCTTTTTAGCCTTTTCCATTAATGCCTTTTGAAATTCAAGCTGGGAAATATCTCTTGTGATACTGCCAATACCAATTTCGGCATTAACATGCTGAGACGTGAAAGAGTTAGGTCCTCCAGCTTTCGGCATTTTAAGGCTTTGTGCTAGATTTTGTACTTTTTGTGGAAGTATGGCCGTTCATCCCCGGTGTTGGTGTAGGTGTTGGTTTTACGGATGGTGTTGGTATCGGTGTTGATTTTACCGATGGTGTTGGTGTTAATTTTGCCGATGGTCCCTCGCTTAGTTTTTCACATTCCTTTTTTGGTCATAGGCTACCCTATCAGACAACAAACTCAAGGCCTCCAAAATAAGCTTAAATGAACCATCAGCTCCCATGGACTTGTTCTTATCAGGATGAAAATCCTCGCCCTCGATTCCTTGCCGCAATTCGCGACGAATTTCAACGAGTCTTCCAAGCTAGAGCTAGGCAAGCAATCATTGGGGACGATATGGAGGTCAACGCGGCGGATGAAGACACGATGGAGGCTGTTGTCGGGGTTGAGCCAACGATGGAGGTGGAAGGCAGCCTCGATGAGCAAGAACTCGCTGTCGGTGTCCTAAACCCTCACGGAGAGGTAAGGGAATCTTTGAGAAGCTTCGAAGAGGAGGAAGACGACAAACCACTCGTCTTCGAGATTGTCGCCGTAGCGGAGCTTGCCGTGGAGGTGAGGCAGGTGGTCGCAGCAGAGGCATGAAGGTTGGAGGCAGGTGGTTGAACCTCCGCTGGCGAAGGATTAGGGTTTACAGTTGAGGAATCCAGTTTCTTTCTCCGGCCAAACAAGGATTTGAAACCCATTCTGTTGAGAAAAGAGAGAATGCGAAAGAAATAATGGGGAGAGAGAGATTTGAGATTAGTTTTTGTGGAAGCTGACGAAGAAGAAGGCCCTTAGGGTATTTTTGTCTTTTAATTGAAAAAAAGAAGGACATGATGCTTACACGTGAAAATCTGTTAAAAATTTGACAAAAATAACCATATTATACCCGTTTAAAAAGATTAAGGGTCATTTTACCCACAAAAAAAAAAAAAAATTATTAACCAAATTCTCACTTACTAAAAAGATTAGGACCATTTGTGTAAATTACCATTTGATTTTTAAAAAAAATCAACTTCGATTCTTAAAACATTTATTGCGTGGAATATTGAAAAGCAACCTTATGTTGTAACAGAGTTGCCTTGTTGGAAAGGGAACACCTTAATTCAAAGTTTTGTTACGGCCGATTTGGATTTTAAGTAGTAGAAGAAGATAAATATAAGTTAAAACTTTTTAATTAATGTTTGAATATTATCTGAAAAAAATACTTTTATATCTAAGAATAATTTTTGAACTTATTTAAGTAAAAAAAAGTCAAAAGCACGTATTGTTATAAAAAGTAATATAATAAAATGATATGAATGAGATATTTAATTTATTGTTCACAAATAAAATGTTAAAAATGTAAATAAAAAAACTTTTCATAAGCAATAAAAAGATGATTTGTTCATAAGGTACTTAAAAAAATTAAAAACACTTTAAAATTATTCATCTAAATAGATTTAAAAATGACTTTTATACTAAATAAATTAAAAATAGCTTTTTTTAAACTAATCTAAATAAGCCATAGAATTATGTTGGAAAGGAAATACCTTTATTGTTTTCACGTGTGCACTTTACTATCATTACGATTTTTTAAAAAATTTTAACAATAGAAGCACCACTTTAGCAAAGAACAGTAATAATTCTTAGAGCGAGTCTAGCCGGTGAATGATTCATACTAGACGAGTTTTTTCTATTTGTTGTGTTTGTTGTTATGGAAATTTGGTATTCACGTGGTAAATGATTAATTTATCATTATAAACAGATTTTGTTCGTTAGCAACTAGACAATTTACAATATAAATTGACTAAAACTGTCTATTTACGGAATGTATTTCTTCTTTAAATTTGTGTTTTAAAGTTGATGTTTTTTTCTTTTTTTTTTCTTTTCATTTGTGTTTTGCAGGTTCTTTTACAGCATCAAGATCTTAACTGACCAAACATTTTTAAGTAAATAAAATATTTTAAAACTATTTAAAATAAATAACAGTAAATTAAAAGTTTATGTAGTAAAAAATCTTTTTCTAGTCATATATAAAAATCTATGTGGTAAAAAAATCTTTTTAAGTCATAAACATAAAATATATGCGGTAACAAATCTTTTTACCGCTATTTACTACAAATATTTTTAAAAATGTTATTACTTAATTTAGTTCCTTAAAAATGTTTTTACTAAAATTTTTGTTGAAAGGATAATTACTGATCATTTTTAAACTCCTTATTTATAATATGTTTTTAATCTAATAATATTATTAATTTTTTATTTTATTGTTATTGAGAATATATTATGCTGAATGTACCTTTTTTAATGTTGGTGGTTATGAATTTGTATAATTAATTTTAATGGTAGTTAACAAAAAGTTATAGTGTCATGCGTCATTTTATAGACTCTTGTGCAAATGGTACTACTTGTAAATAGGGAAATAGTAGAAAATAGGCCAATATGAAAAGTAATATGAAAAGTTTAAGGAAGTATATAGGTAAATTTTTAGTTATAAAAATTAATAGGGCATAACTTGTCAAGTTATGGTTCATAACCAGATAAGTTATGGACAAACTTATCAAGTTATGGTTCATAGCCAGACAAGTTATGGACAAAAATCGTGAATAACTTGTCAAGTTATGGTTTATAACCAGGCAAGTTATGGATGAAAATAGTAATTTGGCATATTTATTAATTTATATAAACTATTGGCCTATTAATTTTAATTCATCTCAAGTCTTGGCCTATTTTTCTCTTTCTCCCCTTGTAGATATTCCTTCCATAAGAGACATATACCTAATTAACTCTTTTCTCAACAAAATTTTTTCCCAAATTTAAAAGCTATGCTTTAACCTAATATTTCTGGGAGAATTTAACGATAGGATATTAAAAAAAGAAAAAATTTCAAGTTTTACATTGTTTTTTTCTACCTATTATTTAAGTGATTATACAAAATTTTAATATCACTATGAAAAATAACATACAAGTTACGAATAAATAACCTGTAGCTTACGAATAAATAATATACAGGTTATTAGTGACATAAGATATAATTTTATAACATTTATATAGATAAAATAGTTTTACTTTAACGATTGCATTTTTAGTTTTCTCTTAAAAAAATATCTTATCAGAAAAACTATGTATTTAAATCATTATATATATGTATATATATTAGATTGTATTATTATAATGCTTTTATTTATTTTGATACGATTTTGACTTGATCATTAAACTACTTGTAAGGAATTGTGTAAAACTCATGTTTGAACTTTGAATAAGTTTTTCCCCACTTTGTTTATGAAGAAAAAGTTGAAGAATAGAAGGTTTTACGATCTAATCCTTATGTTTGCTTTGAATATTTTTTTCTTTTCCTTTTTCAAGTAATTGCAGAGTTTTTCAAGGTGAAATAAAGTATGAATAAATTATGTACATTAGACATCTATACAAAAAAGTTCTAAAACTCACAAAGGGTCACATGGGGCCCACCCTTTGTATGGCACAACTCATATCTATATTGTCTGATCATTGTCAAATTAATCTTTCTTCTTTAATTTGATTATTTTGTTCTTATAGAAATGAAACTGATTTATAAGAACTTCCCTAGAAAATATAGCATAACCATGGTAGTCACATTAAATTTTATTTGGAACAAAAAATAAGTACCAAGTCCCTCCCTCTCTCTCTCTTTTGGCTCAAGGAATAGATGTTCAAGTTGTTATTTCGTTTTCACAACATTACAACTTACAAGACAAGGCTTGACCAAGCAAAGTAAAGCTGCACAACCAAAATTTGAAAGTGTTCCCTTCTCAACTAAACCGCAAAATTCCCATGGAAACATAGAATTGAGAATATTTGTTTCCCCACTAACCCAAATATCATTATCAGAAATCCCTTTGATTGTTCAGTAGTTTATACACTCAAATAATCCATTAATGTACTAATCTTAACTATCCTATCATATACACAAAAATTAATCCCGAAACATGTCAGGAACATATCAGTCAAACAAACAAGATCCTCCAGGGCACCACAATTTCCCAATATGTTTCTCATCTTGGTACAATGGTAGGAATGACTCCACTATCAAGGTTACTACCAGAGATATCTAAGGACAAATAAGGATTCTTTACTTCGGAAGATGAAGATGGAGGACTCACTTCCTTCCCAGCTTTTGCAGTGATCACTTCTTCAGTCAATTTGGTGTTGGATTCCGGCATCATGAGCCATAAGTTTTCGAGTTGTCGGACCACCTCTGCCATTGAAGGCCTTGAATCCGGGTCATCATGGCAACACTTGAGGGCCAATGACAAGAACTTCTCCACACAGTCAGAAGGATAAGATCCCATTCGCTCGTCGATGACCGAGAATATAGTACCGGATTGGAATGCAGAATTCACCTAAAAATGAAACAAATTCTTAGTTGGTGATGATTTGTGTGAAAGTTTGGTGCGGAAGAACTATGTTTGTGTTAGCTGCCTCATTTAATAGTAACAAATAGAGAGCTAAAAAAAGGTGACAAACTTTTACCTCCCGAACAAGGTTTTTCCCATGTGTAATGGGGTGCATCCCAGTTAAGAGCTCGAGAAACACAACGCCGAGGCTATAAACATCGCTCTTGTCGGTTAATTTATGAGTTAAGAAATATTCAGGATCTAGATAACCCTGCAAAATGATAGAAGCAATGTCAGCAGTCTATTAATGTTGGTGACCAAATTGGTGAAAGAAAGGAAAAACTACTTTTACACACAAAGGACTATGTTATTAGTATGATTTTAGAAGTCATACCGGCGTGCCCTTCACTACTGTGGATACGTGCGCAGGCACATTCCCTTCGATCTCGGGAACGGGGGCAAGTCGGGAAAGGCCAAAATCAGCAACCTTTGCAGTAAACTTAGAATCCAATAAAATGTTGGTGGCCTTGATATCTCTGTGGAATATAGGAGGGTTGGCTTCTGTATGCAGGTAAAGGATGCCCTTGGCTGATCCCAGGGCAATTCTCACTCTCAGAGAAAAACTCAGAGGTTCTTTGGACTTGGCTGCTACACCAGATATTACAATTATTTTGAAGTTTGTGAAAATGGTATGTATAATTGAGATTTTTTTTTTTCTGCAGTTAATATTCATTATGATGCAGTGTTCAAGACCCAGACAGAATCAGTGAAGAACAATATAGGGCATATTTGAAGGAAACTTGAGAGGTGTACCAGAAAGGTGATCCCTTAGAGTGCCATTGGACATAAATTCATAGACCAACATCTGCATAAAAGAAAAAGGTAATTCTTGAAACTTTTCCAGGCGAAATCACTGGCTTTGTGCATCAAAAGAAAGCGAGAAGAAAATGTGCCATGTTAAATATTGGGAGGAAATAGAAATCCCAGATTTTCAGAATTTGTTGTGATTAAAATATTTTTTCCCACTTCAGCTCTTGTTGTGATCTTCCAAAAGCCCTATTTTTGGAAGTGAGTGACCTCCAAAGAAAACTTGGTTGAACTAAAAATTGAAAAGAGAGGGTGGGTGGGGGGGAAGTACCTGTTCACCTTCTTCATCACAGAATCCAATCAAGGACACAAGATTCCTGTGATGTAAACGTGACAATAACTCTATCTCCGTCAAGAACTCCTTCTCACCCTGCAATGATCCCTCCTGCGCACGCTTTATGGCCACAACCTTGCCATCAGCAAGAATGCCTCTATAAACCTTTCCATAACCTCCTTGGCCAACCTGCGCTGAGCTGTCGAAGTCGTTTGTAGCCGAGGCCATTTCACTATAAGAGAAATCCTTGACACCATCAATCTTAAGGAAGGCCTTGGACACTGCATTAAAATCGTATAGGCTTGAACAAGGTGTAAGTAGAAATTAATTTCTTCTAGAAGTTCTTGAAGATAGCGGGTTGTACTCACTTTGACGCCTTTTCACAGTGGCTTGATAGTTCCTCTTCATGCGCATTCTCAAGATAAGAAGAGAAACAATTGCAGATAATGCAGTTGCACCAGCAATTCCCCCAACTATCGCCCCAACCAGTGCGCCTTTGCCTATACCGGACTCTCCCTTACTGGAAGAAAACACTGGGGACATTGAAGAAGTATTAACAAAAACAAATCAATGGCTGCGCTACACTCATCTCTTGATGATCATCAACTGGAAATTCACATTGCAGTTGTTCAGCTATGCCTTTAGCATTTCAATCACTATTTCAAATAAACAGCCATTGAGAATGCTCATGAATGAAGCATTTTCAGGTTTTTACGTGCAATGAAGCTATAGTGAGCAATGCAACTTAGCACAAAAGAATACCTTTCTATTTTAGCTATCACAAATACAAGCTCTGAAGAAAATTAAAAGAACGAAAAAGTTTCTGAGACAAACCATTCGCATAAGGGCCCAAAAGAGTGAACTTGATGAGCTCATAAGGTCCAAACAGTTCACTATCTGGAATGTTCCAACCCGTGAACAGGTTTGTGATTCTTCGAACCTCGCTCGTATTGAAGGTATGAGTGGAGTTTTCAACATACACAGGGAAGAGCTTCAAAGTCATTCTAAGCCTAGGTCCCTTTTCCCATGCAAATGTAACAATCTCCAGCTGATATTGATGTAAGACGAGACCAGAGCTGAGATACCCCTCAAATTCGCTTTTGTAAGGAACAAAATCAGAGAATCCAGGACTTTTTAGCCGGTAATCAACAATCAAAGGAATAGCACAGAAACAGTTAACAGGAGATGTCTCCGAAATTTCATAAGGGTATGGGCATAATGCTGTGGGACAGTTAGTAGTGGAGTTTGTCAACACCGTTCCATTATTTTCATCTTCATTTTCAGGTCTACAGAACTGGACTAGGCTGGTATTGTCGCTGTCGCATACTGGATTCCCGCGAAGCCTGAGCATTTATAAGCAAATCAATAATATAGCCAATTTGGAACTACTTTTTTTAAAAGCCAGTTTTTTGGCTTCTTGGGATCGGAAACAACTTTCAAAGGTAAATGAAACGGCAATAGAGCTTTGAAAAGTTAGAAGGTCTTCCAGGAGAAGCTAGACTCTCGTGCCAGGATGTTGCTTGGAGTTCAAATGATTTTTCTTTTTTTTTCCTTATTTGACAAAAAGAATTAAAGATCTCTTTGGTGTCTTAAAAATCTCTTCAAAATGTACAACTTTATGGTAATTTACAAAGTAGAGTTTTTGCTTCTTTTGTTCTGCTATATAAAAGTAGAAGTAAAATCTAGCTTAAAAAGACTGTCAAGATGATACAAACTAGAATAGAAACAGATTAGTAGTCTGAGTCTGAAAATGTTTCACTATGCATTTGAGGTCGTGTTTTGCATACACGAAAATACACTTTATACTCGATTCTGATAAAAAATAGGAGAAGGGCAGAAACGTACGAGACGGTGACATTTTGAGGGATATTCGTACTGCCTGTAATATCGGTAAGCCTATTGTTCTGAAAGTCCCTGCAATTTCAGAATTCAAACAGTTATTATCAATACAAGTTCAGTCAAACTTTACATACACAAGCTCTAATCAGTATAAGAAGATGCCCCTTGTGGAGTCATATGAAAATACAAATGAAAAGAGCTTTAATATTAGACACTTATCATGGTATTGTCACTTCAAGGCTTACAATTTCAGGCTTTCCGTCGAATTGAGAGTCCTATCCGTCCAAATATTGGATGAAACCGAGCCATTTAAGGAATTGTTTGCAACAGACCTGCCACAAGGAATAACTTCTAACATCACTTCATTACATATTTTCTATAGCCAGTAATAACACCACAGTCGATAACATTTGGTAAGCATGAGAAAAGAGAAGATTGAGAATTGCTCACAGTTTTTGGAGCTGAGGAAGTTCTGAAAAGCTGGAAGGAATACTTCCCGTAAGATTGTTGTTGGATAAATCGCTGCACATATTGACAGATAGTAAACATTACTGATATCAAAGAAATAATGTATTGAATTCTACAAAGAAAAAGACAGAGCGAGAGAGAGAGAGAGAGACTAAGAGAACGTGCAAAGTTTACTAGTATATGAGAAATTGAATATATATATATATATATATATAAAATTAGAAATGCAGATAGCAAATTAAGAGTCTTACATAGTTTTGATCTCATCAGAAAGCTTATCTGGAGGGATGGTTCCATTAAGCTGATTTGACTTGAGGTCTCTGAAATTTTTTATGCAAAATTAGGTAACATTAAAATAAAATAAAAATTAAAAAAAAATTGTGTGTCTAAATATGATTTAAATAACGACTAACAACTCCCTGCAATTACTATGATACAATTATTTGAAAGGAACGAACCGTTAGATGAACTTACAAATAACCCAATTTTGGTATCCTGCTCAAATCAGGAATTGGTCCTTGTAACCCACAGTTCCTCAAACTCCTACAGCAACAACCAAATTAGAAAAGATTAATTAAATAAAAAACAGAAGAAGAAAAATATTGCCTAAAGCATCTGACAGTCCTGTATTTCTAAAGATACTGATGATTTTCCATATTAAGAAATAAGCTCAAGTTATGCCACCCGGTTGGGTCAAGTCTATTACTCTCACTTCATCTATTGCATTTTATAGGATTTGTCCAATGAGAATGCAAACAATACCCAATATTGAAGGTGTGGACCTACATATCAACCTTATGCCGTGTTAGCACGCTGGTTTTTGTGATTAGCATAGAGAGAAATACATAAGAGTCTGAGAGGTGTGTAACTGTCTTATAATTTTCTTCTTTATAGTATTGAAATTATGCAGCGGCTAAAAGTAGATATAGCTCCTAGATAGAGGGTGAATCGCTATAAATCTTGTATGTGTTTTCTTGTCTTTCTTTTATGGTTTCACTCTCGGATTAGGATATGCTAAATCCGCAACAAACAACTCTCTTTTTTTGTGATCATATTATAATTGGACAATATAATTGTCACAATATCCTATTTTGAATATCAAATATAAGGAATCATAAGACATTCAGCCTAGCAACAAAAGCCGACATCAGATGTAGGATTTAAACAGATTATAACACTTTATCCTGGACCTTCTAGAACTAGTTAGAGACAGGATCCCAAAGAGAACTTACAACTTCAACAACTTAGACATATTGCCATAGGTCTCCGGAATAGTAGTCCCATCAAAGTGGTTATTATCAACTTGACTGCAAAAGAACACGATGAAAGACATTAGAAACTCAATACAAGATACCCTCTTTGACTTTGTCATATAAGGATAAAAACAAAAGAAAACTAATCGAAATTATAATTGAAGAAAAGAATTAGATGCATGTGAAGGATAATACATTTATTCATAGTTTAACATTTTTTTTTTTGACTCATTATATATGAAGATCTTTTGAACTTTTTGTTACTGAATTGTTCTCATTACAATCAGAAGCGAATAGTACGAAGCATAAAATGTAAAAGCCGGTGATCTATTATGTGCTTTTATAAGAAAACACAACACCAATTCAATTTAGTTAATAAATTGGCAAAAATAAGTCAGAGAACCTACAGAATAAGTAAGCTTGGAAGTTCGGAGAATTCTGGTGGAAGATACCCAGATAAGTTGTTGTTATCAAGTAGGCTGCAAAGAGCAAAGATACATTTAACAAAATATTGGAAGAACATGAAGAGAGAAGAAGAGGATTTAATACAGAAGAAAAGGAATCAATGTTAAACTTACAAGTGAACTAGTTCTGGTAACTTGGAGAGCTCAGATGGGATTTGCCCGCTAATGGAATTGTTGTTCATGTGGCTGCTCAGTAAGATAAAAGAAAATGTAATAAGATTTATAGGAGAAATAAAAAAGACTAATAAAAATTATCAAAAAAAAAAAAGACTAATAAGAATTAGTAGCGTCTTTCAATAAGTCAAAGTAAGAATTAGAACACGTACAAGTGCTTTACTTTGTCCAGGTTGGCAAATGATTTAGGTATTGGTCCTGATATCCGGTTCTCGTCAATTTGTATTCTGTCCAAGTTTGAAAGATTACCAAGCTCTTCAGGCAAGGAACCTGATAATTTATTTCCATTCAGAAGCCTGAAAAAAAAAAATAAATAAATAAATAAAAAATAAAAAGAAGTTCAAAACAATGTAAATATGAACTAAAACTTTTCCCCCAACAAGCTTTAGCAGTTTTACTTACAGGAGTTTCAAGGATGTAATGTTGCCTATCTCTTTTGGTATACTTCCAGTTAGATCATTCCACATGAAGTCCCTAGTGACAAAAATTCAGAGGGAAGAAGAAATTAAAACAAATTCTTCTGAGGGATAAATTTATTCTTATAATTGTCACCTTATTTTCAACAAATTCTTCTGAGGGATAAATTTATTCTTATAAATTGTCGCATTATTTTCAGCTTTTTAATATACTTGTTGTGCCTTACAATATTTCCATGTTAGATAAACGACCAAGCTGTGGTGATAGAGCTCCTGACAAGTTCATATTTAATAGTTGCCTGCAACAAGTTACAAGATAGAAGTTAAGTAACAAAAACCAAAACTTCATGAATCAGGTAAATTTGAAGTGAATGATGGAAACCATACAATTCCCGGACATGTAGATAACCATCATTAAGAGTTGAATTGAAGCATAAAACTCCCGTCCAATTCGCAGTACACGGATCGCCTTGATTCCAATTGCTCAGGTTCTTGTTGGGATCAATCAAACTCTTCTTAATTTCCCGCAATGCACTTACTGCATTTGAGCATAAATGGTAGGTATTAATCAGACTACATGAAAATGGTGATAAATTTACTTCACTTCTTAATCAATTCTGTAACTTGGAAGTTGGAAGCCAAAAACTCAGTGGTTTAAACACAAACGCCTACAAAAATAAGCATGCCTAAAGAACGTAGACCTTTTTTTTTTTTTTTTCCCCCCCCCCAAAACAAAAGAAGAGCAATGATACATATCATGAAAAAGTCTATTGTGAATATCATAGACGCAAATGTGCCCAAATTCTATAATTTCCCTAAAATTGAAATAATTGACTTGTATCAACTTTATTTACACCTAACAATATTTTCATGACAACTAATCATTTTCAATAAAGTGAGCCATTTAAACTAATCCCAATTCCAGACCACAAAAAAAGAATTACATAACACAAAAATAGAAACGAAAAGATTCAGCATTCTATTTCAAAATTACCTTCAACAGGGTCAGTAATGCCATTCTGCGCTCCAACATGTAGTAAAGAAAAACACAAGCACAGAACCAGAACGGACGAGTACACCCAAGATTTTGATTGATACATCCTTAGAAAGAAAAACCACTATAATTTCGATGTATTTCTTCAAACCCACACAGGAAATTATCACAGTATTCGGAGCTTCCCCTGATAACAGCAAAAAAAGTGACACAAAATTCAAAATTTTGAGAGCAGCTTAAAAGGAAAAAGAAAATGGAGAAAAAGCTTACTGTAAACAAACTGAAACTTTGAAAATAAGAAAGAAAATTGGTAAAGATGAACAGGCGAACTTTAACGTTGGATTTAGTAGTATGTGTCTGACCAGGTCGCCATACGAAAGGCTGCAGAGATTGGTGGTGGCGTTGCTGACGACGGATGATGATGGTGATTATTGGCCATTGTTATTTGGTTACTATATCGTGCGTTCTCATGCATTATAATAATTGAGATTTAATTAATTAATTAAAGGAAAAAAAAAGTAAAAAAGAGTATTCGTAGTGGGTTTGCCTTATTGACTTCCAGGGCGGGGTAGGTCGCAGTTGAGAGTTGAGCAAAGGGTTTTCTTTCTTTCTTTCTTTCTTTTTTTTTTTTTTTTTTTTTTTTTTTTTTTTTTTTTTTTTTCCTCTTGTTTGGAGGTTCAAAGCGGCAGCCATAATTTAAGACAAGAAACTGACGGTTGAGAGTACAGCCAACCAGACTACCTAATGCGCGGGAGAAGGTAGACTTCGGCTTTCCGAAATTTATGATAAAAATGTTTTTTCATTTATTAAAAAAATGATAAAATGCACGGTTTTGTGCAAAATGGTCATTTTCCAAAATTGTATTTTTGGTTGGTACGAGCCGATCTTAGGTAGGGGTGACAATTCATGTCACGTGTCGTGTTTTGATCATTTTTTTTAAATTTACAGTCAATCTGAACACGACCCGTGACACGAAATTTTTTAAAAACCACAACACGAACACGACACGACCACTTTACGAGTTAACACGACACGACCCGAAAATGACCCGTGATACGAAATTGACTCGTGAATCTGAAATTGACACGAAAATTGTATACTTTTATTTAATTTTTTACATATTAGAAATAATTTAAAATTCATAACACACTAAATTACAATAACATCCATTGAAATTAATCAAACAATAGTATAAGATTTTAAGTATAACTATCATGATATCACAAGTTCATAATAAAATTTAAAATATGAAATGAAAAAAATATGTATTTTTTTAGTTTTTTACGAGTTTCGTGTCGTGTTCGGGTTAGGCGGGTCCAACCCGAAATTGTCTCGTGTTTTTTGTGTCAATTTCAGGTCGACCCGATTCTAACCCGAACCTCTTTTTTCTCAACCCTAACCCGTAAAAGTTGTGTCATTTTTGAGTCGTGTTGTCGTGTCGTGACCTATATTGCCGGCCCTAGTCTTAGGGATGTGTTTCCATTCATATCCATCCATGTATATAATATAAAAAGGTTCTTTTACTATTTCATTTATTAACTCGTATCGTCTTTCTTTGAGACTCTCAATCCTTTCTAAGGTGTTGTTTGGTGTAAAAGTTTTAAATTTGAAATTATGATTCTGGTTAAGAAATAGTATTTGTTTGGTAAAAATAGTTCTAATTTGACTCATTTAGAATTATTGTTTGATTATGATGGTTTTGATTCAAGATTTAAACTCTGATGTGATGTTTTAAATCATGATCACCCCTGATTCTAAAACCACCCCCTTGATTTTGAGTGGTTCAAACTCCTGATTTTGGTTTTGATTTCATAACCATGATTTAGACTCAAAATCATGAATCATGATTGTAGTTTTAAAATCAAAATTAGAATCACTTTGGTTTGAATCCGTATACCAAACGATCCTTAGATGTTTTTCTCCCACCGGTTTCTATCCACCTACACTGCAGAACTTGGATTCTATAAATTTTAAGATTAATTACAAAATTCTCCCTGAATTACACCTCTTTAACATTTTGTCTCCCGATTCTTAAAACATAACATCTTGAAATGTTAACAAGAAAAGCCTCATTTGTTAGAGTTTTTAATGAAAATGGATATTTAATTTATTAATTTAAGGATATTTTACTAATTTTATGGTTTAAAATTTAATTTAAATTCTCACTCAAAAAAATTTAATTTACATTCAAGCTAATTCAAATTTTAACTTTTAATTATGAAATATCAATTATTAATTAAATGTAAGACAAAATATTTATGAATCTTTTTTTGTATAATTAAAAAATTTATGAAGTTTTTCTTTTTTTTTTAACATTTTTTTCACGTTAGAACTAAGCAAATGAAAAGTAATTTTTTTAAGGAACTATATGTTTGTTGGGTAAAGGATTTCTATGTCTATAATATACTTGAGATCAAATGTACTATATAAAATATACATGATGGGACAGGTTTGAGAATTTCATGATAGGATAGGAAGCCTCATATTTTTACATGACCTATTTCCAAGAGAAGAAAAAATAGTAATAAATTTAGTTGGGTCGGTCTCTTAGGGTTCGTTTGGGATAATGTGTGTTTGTATTTGTACTCATATTTTTAAGTAGTAGAAGAAGATAAACTTAAATTTAAACTTTTTAATTAGTATTTGAATAGTGATAGAAAAAGTGTTTTTATATATAAGAAGAGTTTTTAAACCTATTTGGGTAAACAAGTCAAATTCATTTATTGTTATAAAAGGGAATGTAATAAAAAGATGTAGATGTGATATTTAATTTGTTATTCACAAATAAAAGGTTTAAAATGTAAATAATTTTTTTTTCATATGTACTTTTTTCATAAACACTAAGGAAATAGCTTGTTAAAAAAGTATTTAAAAAATCAAAAGCACTTGAAAGTTGTTCATCCAAATCTAAACAAGTTTAAAAACGACTTTTAAATTAAATAAGCGTAAAATAATTTTTTTTAAGTCAATTTAAACGGCCCTTAGATACAGTAAAGGTCTCATTTTAGATGATGAATTTTGAAGTCAAGGACGATAATATAGCCTATTACTGCAAAAAGTTCTTAAGTTTTTTTTTTAATATTTTTATTAACTCGGAAGTAAAATAGACTGAAACATTACAATAATCAACAGTGATTTAAACCATCATACAGATAAATTGAATGACTATTTCAACGTTGAAAATTAATTATGCAATCAAGTTTAACATTTTAATAACCAAACTTTTAGTACATGCATATTTTTAATTTAAATCGTCAGGTTGGATAATGTTTAGTTTGCATAGTTTTCACGTTAAAATTACAGATAAATTGGCCGTTTGATGCTAAACGTAACTATATATATATATATATTAATCATGTACTCAACCCGTGATAAACACAATTTCTTACGTGTGCTTATCAAAAAAAAAATGATTAACACAATTTCTTTTATTCCAATGGAAAACAATATTGCTTTTTTTTCAAATTAACTTGATCAATCTTCTAATAGACATTTCTAGAAGTCTGGGAATCAAACTCAAAGTCTATATGTTACCAAGTCTATATATGATCTGTTCAAAACTTTTTTTTTTTTTGAACAAACTGTTCAAAACCCTGTATATCTGTAAAATAAAAATTAATTGTTTTTCATAAGAAAGACGTTCAATTTTTTTTTAAAAAAAAAAAACAAAAGTCAATAACTTTGAACAAAGTACAGTTGGGTGGCCAATTATTTTATTAAGGGATATTAGGATATTGTTAACAACATATTAAGTCCAGCAATTCAATTTTGAACGTGACTTGGTAATACGCGTGATTATGGCTTAATCTGATTACTGTTTTATAGAGTCCAAAAGTCATATATACATGGAATCGCATTCCCATTGATTAAAAATGATATACCGGTGATTAGCTAAGTTTCACACGTGATTAAGGAAAACAAACCAAATGGCATTTAAAGCGAGAATATTAATTTGATTTATCGTCATCCAATATATATACACATACACTGTTTGCTCAACTTTTATTAATTTGTTATTTTTTTTAACGGTTGAATTTCTTAATCATTAATCAAGTCCCTGGCCGGAACGTGGATATACAAAAGTTTAAGGCCCTGTTTATTTCGTTGATTCGAGTTTAGAATTCGAGTTGAGATGTGACTTTATGTGAGAGCTTTTTACTGTAGTAAAAAATTATATGTGATTGTTTGTGAGAGTTTTTTACTGTAGAAAAACTCAAATTCTAAACTCGAATCAGTGAAGTGAACGAGACTTACGATAATTATCAATAGGGTACAAAATTCAAATCATGACGTGACAATATTTTTGTGACTATAAAATAAAACTAGTTCAACTGATATTTTACTGGTGATCTTAAGAAACATATAACATTTTCAGATACATAATATGATCTATAGGTGAAAAATATCTATATAAGTAGCGTACTAACTCATGACTTGACCATATTTTTGTAACGCTAGCTCAACTGATATTTTGTTGGCGATTTTAAGAAACATATACATTTTGTGCATCTAAAACAAGCAACATGATGGTCAAGCACTTTTATATATTGGGTTTTTTGAATTCTAATTATAGGCTGTGCACAATTATTAATCTAACAATGGATAATTGGATACAGATTACACCACGAGGATTGGATTATGGACATACAACATAGAGTTAAAAACAAAAACAAAACAAAACAAAACAAAGGGAAAAAAAAAAACGCTTATTAGGATGGAGTATGTGTTTTTAAAAGTTACATTCGATCGCAATCGTATTAAATTAAAATAAATATATGTGTAAAATTAATAAAATTCTATACAAAGTTTACGGTTTAAAACAAAGTCTTGTTAAAATTTACTTACCATACCTTACCATGGGATTATATTGAAAAAAAAATGGAGGAAATAAAAATGTATTATGTAATGTTGGAAAAAACGACAAAAGCCTCCGTCAGGAAAAATGGACACGGAGATGTCACCACAAATGTCAACATGCTGGGCCCCTCACAACTTAATTGTAAACTTAGTAAGGATAGCGACAAATAATACTTAATATTCCATCCTTTCCAACTTTGGTTAAAATTTTTAGTGAATCTGGCACAATTGAGAGGTCTATATCTAACCAGGAAGTAGCCCATTCAAAGGAATTTGGATCACGTTGGAGATTGATTATTTTCTGAACCAATAAAATTTTGGTGAATGTGTCAAGAAAAAAATGAAGGTGCTCAAGACTTTATCAATAGCGTGCTAATCCAAGCAATAGGTACCTATAAACTCATCCTGTCATCAAATTAGAAGCAAATAGATTATTTATTGATGAATACTTGGAGAGTGGGTCCTCTTCATTGTGGATCAACTTGATCCTAACTTTGGATAGGCACAACTCCAAAGAAATATCCTTGATCGTAAACCAAAATATCCATGTCAAGGACGGAAAAAGGGAAGATGTGTTGGCTTCTTATTTATTTTAACCATCTAAAAATGCTCCTAGCATATGTCACACTTGCTTTTAATACTGAAACTTTTGAACTTCAAATGTCTCACCCCAAAATTTTTTTTTTTTTTTTTTTAAGTGAAAAATAGGACTACTCAAGAGTCGTACTTGTATTTTTACATTTTAATTCCTATAATTGGATTTTCCAATTTGAATCAGACGAGATGGGTCGGCCTAAATTCAAACTTTGTTAAAGATTTAGGTCTATAAAAAA